ATATTTTAAAAGTTCAAAACATTATCAAATACAGTTGCAGATACAACTACATTTTAATTTGCACTTTAAATTAATTTTTAATATATTTTTTAAACATTTTGAATGTATTTTAAAGAAAATTTAAACTTGTCAAAAAACTGTTACTGTTATTGTTTGTCACTAATATGAAGAGCAGCTTCTGGTTGCAAAAGTTTTAAAAGGCTATATTTTCATTTGTACTTTATCAAATTTAGTTTTACAGTTTTTTTGTATTTGAAACATTTAATTAAACATTTTTAATTTATTTATCTTATGCCCACAGTTTTATTTATTGAATTTTCTATTTTTGTTATTTATGTTAAAATATATATATATATATTTGTGTTGATAAGCCTGAGTGGTCTGTTGACTGACCTTTGTATTTGTTAAAATAATTGTTGTGGGCAGTTTACAACATAAAATTGTTTGTTATAATCATGTCTTGTGATTATTTGACAGGAGTTTTACTTTTAAACTGTGAGTGTATTTAATTTAGTTATGTTAGTTATGATAGTTTAGTTATGATGTAAATACAATAAAAATTAAACCAAGATTTAGAATAATTATTTTGATCTGTATGGTAATTTAAGAAGCGCTGGTTTAGATTATTACTCTTTTACACCCGGTCGTGTTGAGTTCGGACGTTAACTTCTTGCTTCTCTCCCGTCAGACGAGCTGTAAAGTGTCCCAGTTCATCCACCTGTACCTGTTCGGCTGTAATTACTTCTGGATGCTGTGTGAGGGGATCTACCTGCACACGCTCATCGTGGTGGCTGTGTTTGCTGAGAAGCAGCACTTGATGTGGTATTATCTGCTGGGCTGGGGTAGGTGGCGGGCACCGWAAAAGCCGAAAGCTATCGCAGTTTTTGAAGCTTATCAAGTTGATTTTTTTTTTCCAGGCTTTCCTCTCATCCCTGCTTCCATCCACGCCATCGCTCGGAGCTACTACTACAACGACAAGTAAGTAGAGGAAGTGATATTTGGTAGAAACTGTGTGGACCGGACTGTTGCAATAACATCTCTGTAACAAATCACTATGTGCTGAAATTGTTGCATAATTGTATTTTTTTTCCCCCGCAGCTGCTGGATTAGCTCCAAGACRTCGCTGCTCTACATCATCCACGGCCCCATATGTGCTGCTCTGTTGGTACGAGCTCGAACCGATCTGTTCCACGTCTCCTTGTTTTTATTGCACAACAAGAAAAGTAAACTGTGTTTGGCCTCTTCAGAGCGCTCGTTGTGGGGGGGAGGCCGGACACGGTTTCGTAGCTAGTTTAATTGTGTTTGTTTTGTGAAATTGATTAATCCGATCCTCCGGGGGGGATCCACCCAGGGGTCCTCGGGCCGGTGTTGTTTTCTARAAATTCACCTAATCAGCGCAGCGAGGGGAAAAACTGGTCCCCGAAGTCTGCAAACATTCTATCTGAAGATAAACTTTCTTTGCTGGTTTGTTTAGGTTTCCTGAAGCATATCACGYGGATCTGTAGAAAAATAATCACAATAGAAGCTTTGGACCTTTWTCAGCTCGTTTGATATCTAAACAAAAAAACTATTTCTAACCCGTAAAATCAGAATCAAGTGGTCTTATTTGAACCTCTGACATCTGGAGCCTGGTGGTCTCCTTGACCTGGCGCTATGATCAGGTTGCTCCTTAAAAACGACTGCAACTACACTGAAAAAATAACTTGTAAGATTTACTTGAAAAAAATCCTCTAACAAATTTGCACTGACATTTGTTAAGTAAATTTAAATGCTACAAATTCATGTAATATTTACTCTCATCATTATCTAGTAAAAGTTATTACAATATAGTTTAAGATTTTTGAATAAATCAGGTAAATTTTTCTTAATTTGGTCAATTAATTCTTCTAACATTTACTTGATCAAATTAAGTAAAATTTACCTGATTTATTCACAAATCTTTAACTATATTCTTAATAACTTTTCTAGATAATGATGAGTAAATATTACATGAAT